CGTGCCCATCGGCCTCCTGCAGATCTTACTGGACCAGGCCCAGACCAGGGCTGCCAGGGAGCAGGCTGCTGCCAATGCCCACATCCTGGCCCATGTTGGCCGACGTTGAGGAAGGGGTCACGAAAGCTGGGCCGACCTCGGATGGGAAGGCCTAAAGGAAGGCGACAGCGGGACGGTGCTACACCTGGGAAGAACGTGCCGAGATGCTGCTTCAGGAGCCTCCTGCCACGTGGTGCCGTGTCTCACTGGAGTGCTCCTCCGAGGGGGCATCTGCCTGGCCTGGACCTCGCTTTGTCGAACCACTGCCGTGTGCGGCCCCACGAAGCCGTGGGCACCTGGGACTGACAGTATGTCTGCACCTCTTGACAGCACCACACCGGGGCACTGCCCTGGGGAACCTTGCGTGTCGGGCGCCCCACAGCCCCCAGACGTCCGTGCACTGGCACACTTGGTCACAGTTGTGTTCCCTTCATGAGCTGAGACGCGGGAGCCCCGTCTGGCTAATCTGGCTCCCCACGCCGCGCAGAGAGAAGGCTGCTGCCGGCCGCCTGCGTGTTTTGTGCACAGGGATGGAAAGCCTGGCCTCGCCCCGTGGATATGTGTGCGGCCCGTTACAAGTTTCTGACAGCTGTGTGCGTGAGCAGTGTGTGCTCCTGCTCTAACCCTGAGCGAAGTGCACACAACACACAGCTGCCCCTGTCCTGCCCTCAGCCCCGCACACCCAGCCTGCACACGCGTGGCTCAGAGGAGAGGGAATTCCTTACCCAACTCTCCCCTTTCCACACTCAAATGTCCTGAGCAAAGGTGCCACCTTCCTGAGCCTCGGTCTCTTCATCTGTAATCAGGGTGATGCCACTGAGCTTCGCGTGCGTGACACAGCATGCACGAAGGCTGTGGCGAGCTGCAAGAGGCGCTCCATAAATGCCAAGTGATGGGAGGGTGGGAGGGCTGAGATTACTCCACGTGCACATCTAGGCTGAGTCCTGGCTACTTTCTCTGCTCACTCTTAACTCACCAACCCCTTAGTAGTTGAGGAGTAGCTACCGCCGTTTCCCACTCCTCCCGCCGTTGTTGGGCGGGAGCTGGCTGATCTGGACACTGAGGATGAGGCAGGCACCGCACGGAGGCTAGAAGCTCCGCCCAGAGCCGAGGGCAGTCCCTGGGCGGCTTTGACTGGAAAGAGGCGATGCCCGCCTGCCCGTGTGCAGCTGCCTGCCTGGTCAACCTCACAGTAGTAAGCAGCCCCGGCAGGCGGGCCCGGGGCGGCTGAGAGGCGGAGCTGCTTTCTTCAGAGCCTGCCTGAGGCGGGCAAAGGCGGGGTTACCCTGTTCCCCCGGAGCCACAGGGGGCGGTGGCCCTGGCCAGTTCGGTGGCAGGATGGACAGAGGCACGTTAAGAGGCGGCTCTCTGACCAGCCCAGGGCCGGGGAGCGGCGGGCAGGGTAGGCACGGGGCAGTGCGGGGAGGATGGGAATCTGGGGGAAGCCGGGTGCAGGGCGGGAGAAGGAGAGTGCTGGGTGTACCTCCCCATGTCGGGGGCTCTGAGAGGACATCAGCTTGTTAGTGGCCCGCAGGAGGGGGAGCACTGTCTTCTTGTGGGGCAGAGGGGGCTGGGCCAAGGGGAAGCTATAAATAGTGTGTTCCTTCAGCCCAGGGGGAGGGGCAGCCACTGGAGCTGCCTGAGGCCCTCCCACTCTATCCCTCACTGACCTCCAAGGGGTTGTGTTCATCTAGGCCCTCCCCAAGGGGTCACCCAGAGTGGGCAGGCCCAGAGGCTCATTTGAAAAGTTGTTTGTGTCATGTGGCCTTCGCCCCGAAACCAGTATTTCTAGGTACCCAGTGTGTGCCCTGCGCTGGCCCCGAGCATCTCTGAGCGCCTACTGCACACTCTGTCTTGTTCACGAACCTGTCTGAGCCCCTCCTCCGTGCCCTGGCTGGTTCTGAGTCACTCTGAGGACCTACTGTGTGCCCTATATCAGGTCGGAACCAGGAAGTGCAGGCCAGGGTGACAGGCTGTCCTCAGATGGCTGTATACATAGTTGGAACCTCATACTCTGTGAGCTCTGGGCCCAGGGAATCACTGGGGACAGTCCTTCCTGGAAATGGCCAGAGGAAGCTGGGAGTCCTGGCAGCTTCCCCTACCCATCAGGGACCGCAGCGCCGGATGGCGGAATAAAGACAAAGGGGGCAGCAGAGAGCAGCAGGCCCTGCACGGCCTGCGGGTCCGTGTGCTGCCCGGGTGCCGGGCTTGTTACTAGGCGTGCTTCTGCGCCTTCAGGTGCACGCTTGTGTGCCCTGGGGTGTGGATCTTCGCTGCATCGTCCAAGCCCTGGGGTCTTCATGCTTTGAATGATGGGCTGGGCAGCAGATATGGAGCCTGGGGAGAGTTTGAGCCTTGAGAACTGAGGGTTGAAAACTTCGGCCACCCCTGGCTTCTACCAGGGGATCCTGGGAGGAGGCCCAGTGGCCAGTGCAGAGAGCACCCTGGGAGCCGGCCAGGGTCAGGCTGGGCAAATTCAGGGAAGAGAGAGGCTGAGTCGGATATATTCACACACAAGTGCACACCGATGTGCCAGCACACTTCCTGTGCACGGGACAGGGCAGCTGGCACACTCTGAGACGCCCTGCAGAGAGAAGGGGCCAGTTATTCTATTGGACATTTACTGATGCTGGGGGAGCGGGAGCCAGGAGGCCATCTCAATGGGGGCAACAAGGACGAGCCTGGGTGTAAAGGTGGGAAGCTTGCGCTGGTTCAAGGTGCATGGCTGAAGGCCGGCGGTTCTGCGGGGTCTCTTGTGTACTGTGGCTGGCTCTGTGATCTTAGACCCTTCTCTCCGTCCAGATCCTCAGTTTCCTACCTAAGAAGTGAGGCCATGGGAGGGGACGCTGGCCTTGGGGAGGGGCCCAGGCTCCCAGTATTGACCTCTGTCCTCTCAGCTGGATATATAGACTTGGAAGGGTGTGTCTAGGCGAGCCCGGGATCAGCTAGGGAAGGGGTGGAGGTACCGAGTTGTGGCATTTCCTGGGAGCAAGGCTCAGGCTATCTGGTGTGGAGATAGCCCTAACCGCAACCTTCGCTGGTTGCTCCCACCTTCCAGTTCAGACAAACATCCTGAGGAGCTGGGGGAGAGGGAAGCGGGTCTACGAGGGGCTGGGTACCCGTGGACGTTAGAGGTGGCAGCTTCTCCAATGGGATGCTGGGGCTTGGATAGGGTGTGGCAATGTGTTTTGAAGCCCAGAAGGCCCCAGGGGGCCTTGGCAGTGACCAAGAAACAGAAGTGCCCGGCTGTGTCAGGAGCAGAATGGGTGCTTTGAAAGCAAGGCCAAGTGGGTTATCACAGGGGCAGCAGACACTGAAGCTGGAAAATGAGGAAGAAGGAAATGGTTCACCCTGCCCAAGGCCGGGCATTCTGCAACTAAGCAGCTAGAGCTGGCTTTAGGGAGGATCCAGGTGGGCTTCCAGTTTTGGATCTCCTGAACCTTTATTTCCTGTGAAACGGGCAGCACATGTGTCTGCCATCTTTCTGCTCTGTTTTGTTCTTGAGATCGGGTCTGGTCTTGCGGATCAGGCTGGCTTTGGGCTATGTAGCGCAGGCAGTCCTCCTGCCCCAGCCCTCCTACGACAGCTGGATGACAGGCTTGCGCCACCACGTGGCTGATGTGCCTGCCATCTCAGTGGTCCTTGCAGGCGTTGGGGTGTTTGCTGGCTTGGAGGCTGACTCAAGGCAGGGGTACGGGATGAAGGGCAAGGGCGCAGGGCTGCACCTACCGCAGACCAGGCCAGCCTTGTTTTCTGTGCCCCTTGCTCCTGTCTGCATGCACTTTGGGAAGAGAGAGTATGAGGATGCTGGGACTTGCTAGGGTGTGATGGAGGACTTTGCTGTAAGGCAGTGTGTCACAGGCTCAAGCGCAGCTGGTGAGGACTGGAGCGGAAAGTGGCTGGCAGACCTGAGGCAAGAGCCCGCATGGGTCTGGCGGGGCCAGACACAAGACAGTGAGCAAGACGCTTCTGAACTCCTGGAGCTCTGCCTGGCCCTTTGCCCCAGAGCGTTTTTCAAAGACAGGAGGGAGATTAATATAATGAATGAGAGTACTAATGTGTTATCCAGTGAATTTCTCAGAGATTGACACATTTAATCTACAGCATGATCTTGTAAGATTGATGATCTGTGCACCCTATTTTCCTTTTTATTTTATTTTATTTTTTGTCTTTTTGAGACAGGGTCTCGCTCTGCAGTTCAGGCTGGTCTTGAGCTCACTTTGTAGCCCAGGTTGGCCTTGAACTCAAACCGATCCTCCTGCCTCAGCCTCCCGAGTGCTGGGATTATAGGTGTGCACCACCATGCCCGGGTAGGCCAAGCTGGTCTTGAACTTGCACTGATCCTCCTGCCTCAGCCTTCTGAGTGCTGGGATTACAGGTGTGTGCCACCATGCCCAGCCTACCCTATTTTCCTGATTAAGACACAGTAGCTCATTTAAAAAGTGACTTTTGGGCTGGGGATATAGCTCGGTGGCATAAGTGCCTGCCTAGCAAGTGCAAGGTCCTGAGTTCAATTCCCGATACCAAAAAAAAAGAAAAACAAAACAAAAAGTGACCTTGGTTTGGTGGAACAAGTTTGTAATTCCAGCAGGAGGATCTCAAGTTTGAGCTCAGCCTGGGCAATTTAATAGCAAGACCCTGTCTCAAAATAAAAAAAAATAAAATGGGATGGGGCCCTGCTGGGGATGTAGCTCCGTTTGAAGGTCCTTGGTTTAATCCTGTCTCTGTTTCCTTATCCAAAACACATAAACTCATGATTAAAAATTTGATTGGTAAAAATAAAATTTGGAAAGAAAATTAATATACTGTCAGGGATCAGGGAGTCCACAAAGAACTTGGTCACAAGATCCCAGGCATTTTCTCCAGGTGCCAGGAGTCTAGCCCACGCTCCCTAGCAGCCAAAGCTAGGAGACACACGACCGATTTTGAGACTTGTCTTATGTCCCTGTCCATGAGATGAAGGAGCTTTTCTGGCGTGGCTGATCAGAGAGCCCCGTGAGATGGTCACAAACTTGGGGCTCGCAGCAGAAGAGTGGGCCCAGCATGGGGGCGGTGGTGAGTGGGGAGCACTGCGGGCCTGGCAGCCAGCCGAGACAGCAGGCCAGTTACAGGGCTGTAGGCCTGCCAGGCTGGTCCTGACCAGCCGGGCCCGCGGAGCCCTGCAGGACACACCACACTGTAGGAACCCCTGTCCCGCTGGGCACCTGTCGGTCAAGCTCTGCCGGGAGGTGGGGCTGCAGCGCCCTGGGCGGGGCCTAGGGTGACACCTATGCAAATCAGCACAGTTGGGTGTGTGTGTTGGGTTTGCGCATCCGGGGCGGGGCCTGCATAATCCGGGCCTGTTGGGCAATGCGCACGCGCATTCTCGCGTTTGGCCCAAAAAGGGACCTTTGGTGAGCTGGGCATGCGTAGTCGGAGGACCGGGCCTCTCCAGTTGGGGCGGAACCTCTCGTGGTGGGGCGGGGCTTATGGGAAGATGGACAGCGCGGCCAGGGCTAGAAAAGGGGCGTGGCCCGAGGGGCGGGACCTCGGGTGGCCCGAGGTGGCCCGGCTCCTGGGTCCGAAGCTGCCGCAGTCAGAGTCCTCTTGGCCACGGGATGGCGTCCCCGCGGGAGCTGACCCAAAACCCCCTGAAGAAGATCTGGATGCCCTACAGCAACGGGCGGCCCGCTCTGCACGCCTGCCAGCGCGGGGGTGAGGCCGGGTCCCCGGGAGCGGAGGGTGGCGCGCGCAGGAGCAGGCGGACGGCCCGGGCGGGGGCAGGGGACAGGTGGGCGCCGGGTCGGGGGTTCTCGTGACTGGTGGGCAGAGTCGGGGACAGGTGCGGGCTCGGGAGTGAGGTGGCAGTGACGACGGGGGCCTGAGTAAGTGTGGCAGAGCCGGGGTGGGGACAGGTGCGAAGGCCATTCGGCTTGGAAGGCGTCCGGCCTGGGCACCATCGCCTGCGGGAGCGGATGGGCCCCTTTGCTCCCCGCTCTGCACCCAGTGGCCGCCGCAGCGAGGTGTCCGTGCGCACGGCCCTTCCCTGTCTTCTTTCCTGGCCGGAGAGTGGGCCCACAGGCAGGAGGAACTGAACTAGGGGGCCCTGGAGTCACTTGGCCCGAGCCCAGAGCTTGCAGAGAATTAATCTGCACCGGCCAGGTCTCTGGAGTGAGGACCTTTGGCCTTAAAACCAAATTTCAGCAGGAGCTTTTAGATGTAGGTGTGGTCGGGATACATAGGGTTCAATGCCACGTGGACCCTTTACCTGGGCAGATGCGCAGGTTGTGTGCCCTCTCGGGTGGGGTCAGACCGGAGGGGGAAAGGTTCCTTCACTTTCTGCTTATCCCTAAATGAGTCTGCAACTTCCTCCATACCAGCGCAAAGAAAGCTTTGTTGTAAGGGTAACCGAAACATTGTAATGAAGTGGCAGCTTGGCAGGGCCTCAGAGGACACCTAGTACAAGGGTAGGACAGCTGTGGACCAGGCCTCGGGAGAGTGTGTGAGGTGCTGGGGCTCCCTGGGCTTCTGACCCCTGCTTCTGCGTGAGAAGGGCGGGGAGTGTTCTGTGAGTCTGCTGCCAGCTCAGCCTGTAGCAATGACTTTGACCGTGAAGTGAGTCCCGGGAGAAGGGTATGTTTGTGTCTCTGATCACACCTTGAGTCCTGGTAGGGATGGTTCCTACACTGTGTTCTGAGTCCCCAGGGGCATGGCCTTGGCCTGGCCCGACCTTCTCACTCTTCTGGGGGTGTGGAGGCTGAGGCCCCTCCATCCTGTGCCAGCAGTCCTGATGCGGGTGGCTGCTGTCACAGCACAAAGGGGGATGAGTGAGGACCTGGACTTCTGGAGTCAGGAACATTCGGCTGTGTGACCTTGTTTTGTTTTTTGTCTTGTTGAGACAGGGTCTCGCTATGCAGTTCAGGCTGGTCTTGAACTCACAACAATCCTCCTGCCTCAGCCTCCTGAGTGCTGGGATTACAGGCGTGCGCCACCATGCCCGGCTCGGTGCTGTGTGACCTTGAGTAAGGAGCTGATCATCTAGGCCTTAGGTTCCTTATCTGTGGGATGAGATAGATGGTCATCATCCTTATGAAGTAGCCGGAAGTCTCTAAAAAGTACGTCCTTGAAAAGTGGAGGGAGGTAATTCTTTTTCACCGCTGCTTTTTTTTGCTTGCTCACGGTGTCAGAGTTGGGACTGATGCGTCAGCGAGAGCCAACACCCCAGCGCAGGTGAGACGGGAGCCAGGGCTCACTGGGGAGAGACCTGCCAGGTCTCAGCTGCTGATGCAACGTGTGCGTTTCTTGAGGCACGAAGTGTGGATTAAAGCATGGCTCTGGCCTGCGCAGAGGGGCTTGGCTTGTGTTGGAGTAGGCTGGCTGTGGGCCCAGACCTTCTTGACACCCGGAGGTAGAAGAGGAGGCTGCAGGTTGTGTGGGAGACTGGGGCCCTCCGAGGTCCCAGAGTGTCCCACAGAAGGTGGGTAGGTAGTGAGTGTGGAACAAGCCGTGCAGCCCCTGCACCGGAGCAGGATTTCACCTCTTATGTAACAGGCTTAGGGCTAGGCTGGAAGACTTCAGGGACAATCCAGACCTGTGGGTGGGGGAAGTTAACTTGGTCACAGGATTTTGAGGGGCGGAGGAAGCAGCTCTCTGTGTTGCGTGGTAGGTTTTCTTTGGGGTGTGGTCCCTAGTCTTCAGGGCCTGGCTGATTAACTGAGAGGTCCTTCCACTTCCACCCCCCACTTGCCATTAGCAGTTCTTCCCTCACTTGATAAAATTCAGAGCCACACCCAGGGGCCTGGAAGCTCTAACCCTACCTAGTGTTGGTCTCTCAGCTGGTACCTGGAGGGCCTTGGGGGCAGGGCATGGAGACTCGGCGGCTTGGTGGAAAAGATGCTTCTCTCGGTCAAAAAATGGCAGGTGATAAAACTTTTTTTAAAAATTAAACATTTTTAATGTTTATTTGGTTATTTGAGACACAGTCTTGCTATGTAGTTCAGGCTGGCCTTGAACTCACTATGTAGCTCAGGCTGGCCTTGAGCTTGCAGCAATCCTCCTGCCTCAGCCTCCCGAGTGCTGGCATGACAGTTGTGCACCACCACGTCTGGCTATTATTAAAAGGTTTTTTTTTTTAATTGATGGTACTGAAAATTAAAACAAGGGCCTTGACACTGAGCTATATTCCCAGGCCTTCTTATTTTCTAATTTTGAGGCAGGGTCTCTGTAAATTGCTTAGGCTAGGCTCGAACTTGCATGCACCACCACGCCGAGCCCCTGTTGTTTTATTATACAGTGTTCTTCCTTACCCAGCTTAGCCCTAGGAGGTGGGACAGGTGTAATAGGAGTCTTCTGAAACCTGCGCGGGACTTGTGGCTGTCCCTCTGGTGGACGTGCCAGGAGGTAGGGAGAAGGCACTGTCCGTGGGCAGGCGCGTCTCAGGCCCCTTGATTCCTGTGCCTTCAGCATGTTAACAGGAAGAGAGCAGTGAGGGGGCTGAGTTCAGGCCTCCTCCTCCCTTCTGTGCGTGCTCTGTGGCAGTCGTGTGTTCTGCTGTCCTGTCGCTCGGTGCTGGGTCCTTGCGGGCTCAGAGCTGCAGTACTGGCCGCACGCTACAGCTCCCCGTGCCAAGGGCTCGTGTGTCCCCTCCTTGTCGTGCCTCTGTTTGCAAGTTTTCTGCTGCTGGCCTTTTCCCAGTGCTTTGCTGCTGTAAGCAGAGCTGCTCTGAATGTATTTGAACTTTGGTTTTCTTTGGGTCATTTCTTGGACAGCTATCTTGAGGAGCAGAGGTGACAGCTGATTTATTGCCTTGTTTTGTGCCCAGGCCTGATTTGCTGCCCTGAGTGCCCGCTTGTCTCCACGGTTGTGGGAGGAGCCTGGGGCCATGGGAGGAGCCGGGGCCATCTCTGAGAAGCTAGAAGGTGTGCAAGCCCCATGCCGAGGCTGTGTCCCTGGGGCGGTAGCGGGAGGGGGTGACCTCGGCATGGGCGGTAGGGCCAGGTGGTTCCCCTGGCTACGTGCTGACACACTGCCCTTGACTGGCTTGAGGGCCTGGCCCGTCTGGCAGGAATTGTGCAAACCATGCAGGCCGTGGCTGTCTCCGGGCCGGAGAATGCAGAGCGTTGCCTCACTTGTTTTCTTCTCACCTTAAAATACTGAGGTTTTCCTGTGAGTTTCTTCCTTCTTACTGTCAGCCCGTACTGTGTGGGGTCTCCTCCTTCCCTCCCCTGGGGCTCAGGGCCTTGGTCACGTTTGCACATAGGCCCTGCCTAAGGGTGCTGGAGCCCCCACTGGCACGCAGAGCCCTTTGCTTTTAGATAGGACCCGTCTGGGGCCAGACTGCCGCCTCCTCCACGGCCCGAGTCCCCAGGGCGTCGGTTGTGGACCTCGTGGCTTCCCGGAAGTGCTCTGGCTCACGCGTGGAGGTGGTGGTAGATCTCCAAGGGGTTATTACCCCATTTACCAGGGGAAGACACAAGCTCCGAGTTGGGCCCAAGCCTCGGAGGGTACCGCCCTCGGAGGGAGAGTAGAAGCCCCTGGCGAGGAGAGCTCGCGGGTGAAGGGCGCTGCCGCAGCGCACGGGCAGGGGAGGACTGCGCCTGTTCCCCACCGCTGGGCGTCAGTCTTGCCTGCTCTGGCTTTGCTGGCCCAGGTCCTATGGCTGATGCAAGGGAAGCTTCGGAGGGAAGCCACATCTGACTGCCTTGCAAGTGGAGCTGGGTCACGGAAGGCTGGCACTTCCGCTGCTTCGATGTCTGCCCGAGCCAGCCGTGGCTCGGGGCAGCGTGTCAGACCCTTCCCTGCCTCCAGCCTTGGCACCTCCTCTGATTGGCACGCTGGCCCGGTGGCACATCGAACGGAAGTGGTAGGCTGTCAGAGGGACTGTCGTCGCGAGCCTTGGGCTGGGCCTCCGGCCTCAGCGCCTTGGAGCCCTCACCCCGCTAGCCTTCTAGATGCCTCCCTGCTGCCGCTCATGGCTCCCGAACGCTAATGCTGCACCAGGCCTGGGCCGCAAAAGGCTCAGACACTGCGGGGATGCTTCCCGCCAAGCGGTCGGCCCGGGGAGAGCAGACTCATTAGGGAGGCGGGCAGGTTGAGGACGAGGCGCATCGGCTGGACGTGGAGGCTCCTTGAGGAAAATAGAGTCACAGCGGGGAGGCCGAACAGCCGGACTGTGAGTGCTGGAGCACTGAGTGGTGACGAGGAGCGGCAAGGTGGGAGGTTAGGGCCAGGCTCCTGGATGACAGAGGCCGGCACGAAATACCCCTTGGCGTGATCTTCATGTGGCCTATTGAGCTTTTACTGCTGGTGCGTGTCAGGATGAGAGGGGCTCATGAGGTCCCTGCATCTGTCAGGGCCCCGTCTAATGCCCGGAGGTACAGGTGGTACCGGCCTCGTGCCCTGAGGCTGCCGCTTGCCTTCCAGTTTGCATGACCAACTGCCCAACGCTCATTGTCATGGTGGGCCTGCCTGCCAGGGGCAAGACCTACATCTCCAAGAAGCTGACCCGCTACCTGAACTGGATCGGGGTGCCCACTCGGGGTGAGCTCTGGGGACTGCAGGGCAGGGGAAAGGGACAAGGGAGGCGGGTGGTGGGCGAGGCCTGGGGAGGGTCCCAGCAGGGGTCAGCGGGGCTGCTGCTGTGAAAGCTGAACTTTTCCTCTCCCCCAGAATTCAATGTCGGCCAGTATCGCCGGGACATGGTCAAGACCTACAAGTCCTTTGAGTTTTTCCTCCCAGACAATGAAGAGGGCCTGAAAATCAGGAAGTAAGTGCGCTGGGGCCCACTGCTGTTGGAATGGCTGGCAAGTTGCTGCCCATTTGCTAAGAAGCCCCCCGAGTCTCGAGCTAAGCTGCTCGCACCTGCCTGAATTGCCCCGGAGGCTGGCCCTGGCCTGGGGCAGCGCTGTGTGCCAGGCCCGGCTTCCTGAGCTCCTAGGGTGTTGTCGAGTTGGATGTGATGGGCTTGGCGTGAGAGGAGAGGCTGTGTGGCCCCGGGTGGCTGGGCCATCCCTGCTGTGCTGTGGAGGGCCCCAGGATGCCCCACCCGCCAGCCCGTTCAGATGCGAGGGCTTTCTCCAAGACGCTGGTACCCCTGGCGGCCTGGGGAGCCGCACCGTGCCCTTCTTGGCAGGGGTCAGCAGGGCCAAGAAACCCCTTCTCAGCCTCGGGTGGCAGAGGCTTGCCAGGGTTCAGCCATGGCGGCAGGGCAGTACGCAGAGGTTGGCCAGCTCTAGTGACTTCTCCAAATCAAGTCCAGCCTCAGGGCAGAGGTCACTCACAGGACTGTCTCCTCGCTGCCGCTGGATTGGACACCGGGCTGCGTATTCCTTCTCTGGCCACCAGGGGGCAGGTGCTCCCGAGTGTGCTCCTGTATGGTTGGGGCTGGGCCCGGCTGAACAGGAGTGTGACTCTCAGGTGCCTGTGGCCAACTTGTGTATGAAACTCAAGGCTGAGGCGTCTGGTGACATGGAGCGAGATAAAGGGAGAGAGCTGACACCGAAGCTTGCTGTGGCTGGGTGCTTGAGGTCCATTGTCTCTTGCTCTCACGCGCGCGCGCGCATATCCACACAACTTTACACATGAGGAAGCTGAGGCTCCGAAAAGCCTCACACAAATGTCATTTTAAAGTTGAATTTAGGTTGTCTTGCATCTAAGCCCGTTTACCGCTAAAAACCACCCTTGGTTCCAAAGTTACCCGATGAGTAGGTGGAAAGAATATACCAAATGCAGGTTTTAAGTCAGCCCCAGGCGTGGGCCTGGACAGACCAGCTTGTCTGACCTTCCTTCCTCGTCAGGCACCTTGGCGGTTGGAGTGGTGCCTGACTTTCCCAGGTGCGGAGGCTGGGTCAGGATGGGGTGGTGTCGTCGCGTCCTGTGGGGCCGTTCCTGGCAGGAGTTTGAAACCGAACGGTTTGTGGGAAAACCGATGGAGCTAGAATTTCCAGGTCTGTCTGGAAATTCCAGGTAGGGGGTTGGAGTAGGAGTGTCGGGTTCAGAGAGCTTGGGAGCTAGCCCAGCGTCGCCCACGGGACCACAGGACCCTGTGACAGAAGATAGAGGCAAGTTCATGAGCCACTTTACCATTTTGCAGACATACTCTGCATTGTTCCTAGAAACGCTTTTCCCTATATCCAAAGCCTGAATTGAGCCACAGGACCATTTCCTGTTAACTAGGCTCCACATTTCCCTAACTAATTGGGAAAATGAAAGGATCAGAAGTTTTTAAAATGAACTGGTACTGCACACGTGTCATCCCAGCGCTTGGGAGGCTAAGGTAAGAGGACCACCATCAATTTGGGGCCAGCCTAGGCTACATACGTTCCAGGCCAGTCTAAACTATATGTTTATAGTTTATAGCACACCTGTATTCCCAGCACTTGGGAGGCTGAGGCAAGTTTGAGACCAGCCTGGGTTACAAAGTGAGCTCTAGGCCAGCCTGGATTGCATAGCAAGACCCTGTCTCAAAAAGTTCCCCCACTCAAAGAAAAAAAAAAGGAAAACCTGTGAAGGGAGGGCTACATCTGCAGAGGTCCAGTTAGTCACACATTATTAATGACCCCAAAGCTCCACAGCGCTAACACTCTCTCAGGGGAAGGTCTAGCAAAATGTGTGACAGTCACATATACATAGGTAAGGGCACATATACATGTATGCCAGCTGATGTAGTCACAGTCCAGCACAAATACTTCGTATGCACATATCTGGACACTCCCATATGTATTCATAGGTGCATATATGATATATGCACATTCCTTGTACACACACATGCAGACTACATGAAGGTCTGTGCATATACGTGTGGGCACCTACACATATGAACACTAGGGCTCAGTCACACATGTGCATATGCTCACAGTCACACCACACACAAGGCAAGTGCACATGTGCTCGCCCCATGTGTGTATATTCACACCTGAGTCCCCTCAGTTGTGGTGTGTCGGGGGCCCTCGGGAGCACCTTCAGGCTCAGTGACTGCTAGGATGACTCCCAGACTTGATATATACCTGGGCTAAGGTTTATGACAGTGCAACCCTCCAAAGCAGAATCAGCAAAGGGGGCAGGTGCGTGGGTGCAGTCTGAGCGTCCTCCCTGCTGGAGTCACGCGGGGCGCATTTAACTCCTCTACCACTGAACTATGGGAACACATGTAAGGCCTTGTCTGCCAGGAAAGTCCCTTGGAAACTCAGTGCCTGAGATTTCTATTTGGGGCTGGTCGCAAAGGCACCCTGTGTCTGATATTTTCCAAAATTCCAGGCTCCAAAAGGGAACCAGTTATGCAGCATAAACCACATCATTTCTGTGAAGAGTGTAGACAGTGTGAGTTCAGGGAAAGTTTTATGTCAGGGTAGGGAGCTGCACCAGAGCATACCTCCTAGGCACCTGTGTGGGTGCATACACACTTGGGGTCATCTTGTCTGTACACATGGATCTGGACACACATACACAACAAGCACACTCATGTATGAGCTCACACGATTATGTACTGCACAAAAGTATGTGTACATGCATCTTATATATATGCACGTGGGTACACACATCATGTATGCGTGTGCTTGGACACACACATACATATCCTGGGTACATACATGTGGGTACATTCCCCAAAACTGTGCCCACTCAGCCACTTACTACCCATGAGGGGACGAGCACACTCGTGCATGCCCAGCCGTGCTCACAGACCTAAATGGCCACACATAGACACGGCACACTCACACATACTCGCCCATACATGCAGATAAATGCACCCGTGCATCTTCTCACCCTTACGCACATGTACCCACAGGTTCTGGCCTTTTCCCCCAGCATCTGCACTGGACCCTGAGTTCCCTCCCAGATGCTAGAGCCACAGACAGAGAAGCTCATGAGAGATCCTCGATATACTTGGGACCCATTGCAAGCAGGAAGAAGTGGCCCAGCGATGAATTTTTGGTTTTTTTACAGTGAGTTTTTTAGACTCTCATAATTCAGAGTTTTTGGCAGAAGAAGAAAGCACTTGAGGAGTATGTGACAGACCTGTTGGGGCACGGAAAGATCACAAGGAGGCATGGGGGCAGGACTCCTTCAAGTGACCTAGATTCAGTGTTCCCTCTGATTTCTCCATGGTTCCCAGCAGACTGTGGGGCGTCTGCCTCTGCACTTTAGCACCCTGATGCCTCACAGCACAGTTCTTTGACACTCGGAGCTTATGCACAAAGTCCAAAGGTCAAACAAATGGAATGAGATCTAGCTTAACTCTTACGTTGAAAAGGTGACAGTAATAGACAAAAAATAAAAGGAATATATCCATCTCCAGGCTTAGAGGAGAAATGGATAAAAAAGGAAGGGTCTTTGCTTGTGCCAATCCATCTTGCAGCAGTGAGTAGAAGAGCTGAGATTCTGGAGACAGTGTAGCCATGGTGTGGTGTTGAGGAGGATCACAGGTTGCAGAGCTCTGTGAATATGGGCTCAAGGGCCACAGTGGTGAGCCTTCCTCCCGGAGGTGGTGGGGGAGTGCCCTCTTCCCGGACAGAAAATTGAACATTAAGTGTAGTACTGCCCTGGGGAACTGGAACGGCTCCTATCCTGTCTTGGTTATTTTTCTCTCATTGCTGAGACAAAATACCCAACACCCAAAATTAAGGAAGGAAAGGTTTATTTGACAGAAGTCAGCAAAAGCAACAAGAGCAAAAAGCAGGTGTGTAAGCCTCTTCTCCTTCCTTATAGTGTAAGCTGGCTACCCTGCCTGGGTGGGGGGGGGTAGCTCTCACACCAGCTCCATGCCCTCCTCTTGCACAGGCTCAGGATGTTTACAAAGTGAGGCCCCTGCCCCCCTGCTGAGTCACTTAGTTAACCTTCTAACCTTCTCAAGTTGACACCATGTATCAACCATTACAGTCCACCCCTTGTCAACTTGGCAACCAAACACATTTCTTTAAACAGGTCTCCAGATAAAAAAATATGTTTATTCTTTTCTTTTTTTTTTTTCTTTTTGAGATAGGGTCTCCCTATGCAGTTCAAGCTGGCCTTGAGCTTACTTTGTGGCCCAGGCTGGTCTTGAACTCACAATGATCCTCCTGCCTCAGCCTAAGACATGCTTATTCTTATCATTTCACAGCTTGAACATTTTACACAGGTTTAACAGTCCTTAAGAACCAGTATTAAATCTATCACATTATATTACATTAGAACTGTAACATTCTGTCCCTGGCCCCCCAAAGACTCATGCATATCCCTTTATGCAAAAGACATTTAGTCCATCTCTAAGAGTTGCCACAGTCCTAATAGTTTCAGTATTGCTGGAAAGTTGAAGTCCCAAGTCTCCTCTGACATATAAGGCAAACTTCTAGTTGTGAGCCCTGTACAAATGAAAAGTTAAACACCTCCAATATTCAATGGCACAAGATGAACATTTTCATTCCAAAAGTTACAAACAGGAATACAGGGTTGGGACCAAAGCAAGTCCAAAATCCAGCAGAGCAAACATTAAGTCCTGTAGCTTCCTGTCCAGCATCTGAAGCAATCTGTGGCACATTGTGAACTCCAAAGGGCTTGAGTGACTCCATCCCTACGGCACTTCTGGTGGTTACAGCTTCCACAGCTTCTCTCTTGGGCCTGCTTTGCTCTCTCCTTGCAGCTTTCCTTAGATAATCCACATTCGTGGCTTTTCCAAGCTTCTGGAGTCTGCACTGCACCTTCGGCTTCACACTCAAAGCTTCACCCACTGCTCTCAGGGGCACACTGCCTGCCCTCCCAGGACTTCTGAAATCAAGGTGGAAGCCTTTTTAACCCCATAACTCTTGCATTCTGTATACATTTAAAACCAGCACCATGTGGATGATGCCAAGATCTACTGCCAGCTGGAGCAGTAGTCTGGCTTCCTCTCCCTTGGCTGTAGGGTTCAGGTGCCTGGATCACTGGGCATTGTGAATCCCAATTCTAAGGAATAAATTTTCTACGCTGCTGTCATGCTGGAATCTGGTGTGGCTGCTGCCGTTCTGGAACATGGTGTTCTGTGGCTTTCTCTTCAAAGCAAATTCTTTCACTTTTGAAGTTTTGAGGCTGCAAAGAATTGAGACTTGCTGCTTCTTGGGATGCCCTTGGGCCATCTTTTATATTCTGTTCCTTCTCAGCAGTCCAGATCTCCTCAGCTCCACCTTTGTAGTCTACAACTTTACTGGAGCTTCCTTTCTGGCCAAACTCACATTTTCAGTCATCCTGCTGGGCTCTTTGCTCTTGATTCTCAACATAAGTCTGGCTAAAAGCCCCCAGCAATAGCCATGAGACAGCCTCAGCATTTCACTGCCTTGAAATTTCTTCTGCCAGATTAATTAGTTCACTGCCCTTCATCTTAGTCTCAGGCAAAGTCTCTGCACCTGAGCAAAATGCAGACAAACTTTCTGCCAAGCCATTACCCATCCTCTGGAGGCCAACAGCCAATGCAGTGCTTCTTCCCAGCAGAAGCCTCCTGAGCCTGGTCTTTGCCAGCAGGATTTCTCTCAGCTTTCTGGTCTAAGCTCTGACCAGAATCTCCCATACAGAACAGCATTAGGCATTCCAGCTCTAGTCTTTCAGGCGACATTTCTGAACCTTTCCAAATACTTCCTACAAGCCATTTCTCAAGGCTCTTGAAGCACATGGTCAGGTACAGTCACAGCAAGGACCCTACTCATGGTACCAAATTCTGTCAGTTACTTTTCTCTGATTGTTGAGACAAAATACCCAACATCCAAAATTAAGGAAAGAAAGGTTTATTTAGCTCACAGTCTGTGGAGGT